GTTACCATATGCTCATACAATGTAAGTACTTGATCATCCAAGCATGCTACTGGCCAAATATCATCACCCTGGGACTTTTGGTTATTGAGATGTTTTAAGATTTTTTTCATCATTTGTCATTTTGAACCCTGTGACCTTCAAAGAGGGTCAAGGTTAAACATTTGAACTAATTTGGTAGCCCTTCAACCCAGCAAGCTACTAGCCAGATGTCATCACACTAAGATTTTAAGTGTTAGAGTTTTGAAGAAACGTGTTGGTGTCGGATTGACGACAGATGCCACCCCATGACTGTTTGGGCGGGGTGGGCTGAAATTTGTATTGCTAATCAACTTTACATACCCAATTATCATAGCTCTAGAGTTCTGTTCTTTTACGAGACAAGTTTGTCAGCTTGCTGAAAAATAATGGGAACAAACTTTTAACTGTTTTATTGTTTTGTTTGTTTGTGTTTTACGTCCATGTAGGCCTCTGACCCGCGACCCGAATCATGGGGAACCTGCATGTGAAATTTGAGATAAATCCTTGCGGTAGTTTTTGGGGAAAAAAACCTTTATCTCTCAAAATTTAGGAAGATTCACTTGTAGGTTCCAATTGTCTTGTGTTATGTATATTTGGACTAATCAGAAAACCAAGATGGTCAGCAGACTGCTACTTGAATTTAGAGAGTGGAAGTTTGTTTGCGCTATTTCTCAGAAAGAACTGGAGGGATCTCTCCCAAATAATAACTGAACTACAAGTTCAACGTATCCAAATTTCATACATGTAGTTATTTAATTCAGACGTCTAATTGGAGCCCTTAAATTTGACTGATCAGGGTTATTTTGTCTCGCCACCACGAAATGGAAGCGAGACTGAGGTGTTGCTATTCTGGCGATGGCGGCGACGGCGACGGCGTTAACATTAAGTTTTTGTGTTTAAGTTAGTTTTACTGAAAGTATAAATGCTAGACCAACCAAACTTAGATCATAGATGCATCTTAGGTAGTACATCTCAATCCAATCATTGCATCAGATGCTGGATGCGGCCTACCTTTCATGGTCCATTGACTTTGTCAGAATCTCCATCAACATTATGTTTTTGTGTTTAAGTTAGTTCCTCTGATATGTGCATTGATGGTCAAAGCGGGGCATAGGCGAGACTAATAAAATCTTTCACCTGTAACTGAGTGAGATTGGGATATCTCAGTCGTGTTGAGATTCTGTAACCAAATCCTAACCGTGGCGTAAGCCGAGGTTGGGATGTTACAGAATCTTAACCCGAGACTGATATAACCGATCTTGCTCAGTTACAGGTGATTGATTTTTTTTCTCGCACCTTTTAGTTCGAAAAAACATAATTCAATTTTGCTGAAAACAATGATAATGACCTCTTCACTACCTTAGCTACATTTGAATGCTTCCGCGTAAAAATGTAGTTCGTCCTTACATAGATTACAACGTATTTCACAGTGTAGATTATATTTGATCTACAACATCAAAAATCTAACAACATCAAAACTATACATATTACGCCAAAACAGAACATTTATAATGCAAATTGTCAATTTCAAGCAGTTAAGACGCGGATGAATACATCGCAGTGTACAAATTCGGCGAAATGTCACGTAAAGGTACAAGACAGATCGGACGAGATATAAAAATCTAGCATGGGGTATGACGTTGGATATCTCTGTCTGAGGTGCGAGAAATATCAATCTGAATGGCTTGTTAGCTCACCTGGTCCAAAGGACCAAGGTGAGCTTATGCCATACCGTTGCGTCCGTCGTCCGTCCGTCCGTCCGTCAACAATTTCTTTAAACGACTTCTTCTTCTTAACCACTGATTGAAATTTAACCAAATTTGACTGGAAGCATCCCTAGGTGGTGGGGATTCAAAATTGTACAAATGGTGGGGCTGACCCCCCAGAGGGCTGAGGGGCGAGGCCAAAAGGGGTCAATTTGGCTATATTGCTTAAAGTGACTTCTTCTCTGTAACTAAGAGATGGATATCAACCATATTTGACTGGAAGCATCCCTTGGTGGTGGAGACTCAAAATTGTACAAATGGTGGGGCTGAGGGCAGGGCCAAAAAGGGTTATTTGGCTATACTGCTTTAAGTGACTTCTTCTCTGTAACTAAGAGATGGATATCAACCATATTTGACTGGAAGCATCCCTAGGTGGTGGAGATTAAAAATTGAACAAATGGTTGGGCTGACCCCCCAGGGGGCTGAGGGGCGGGACCAAAAGGGGGCAATTTGGCTATATTGCTACAAACGACTTTTTCTTTAGAACTATGCACTGGATATCAATCATACTTGATCAAAAGCATTCTTTGGAGGCAGGGATTTAAAATTCTACAAATGGTTTGACTGACCCTCCAGGAGGCTGAGGGACGGGGGCCAAAAAGGGTATTTGACTATATTGCTTTAAGCGACTTCTTCTCTGGAACTGAGAGATGGATATCAACCATATTTGACAGGAAGCATCCCTAGGTGTTGGTGATTCAAAATTGTACAAATGGTGGGGCAAACCCCCCGGCTAAGGGGTGGGGCCCAAAAAAGTGTATTACTTGAAAATGGTTGAGATCGGGGGCCCTACCGTATACCCATATATACAATTGCTGAGTATAAAGAGAAGAATGCACATTTGCTTCCAGGATGGCCCTATAGGGTTTGGCCCCACCCTTGGAGACATAGTTCCTGGGTCATAACTTTGAAATGGTTGAGATCCCCACCCCAAAACTATATATACAATTGTTGGGCATAAAGAGAGGAATGCAGTCATGATATTAGAATTGATCCTGGGGTCTGGCCACAACCCTAGGGACCTAGTTTCTGAGTCACAGCTTTGAAGCTGTTGAGATCCCCACCCCATAACCATACATTAAATTGCTGGGCATGAAAAATCTAATACGGATATGCTACAAGGATTGGCCTTCGGGTCGGGCATATTCCCTTGGATCTCATTTGGAGAATATTTTGCCATGATTGATTAGATATCCAGGTGAGCGATACAGGCCCTCTGGGCCTCTTGTTTAAGTTTTGGGTGACTACTGGTATACCATTTTTCAATGGGCTTGTTGAACCTTAAAATCATAACATAACATCTAATGAATCATAGGTCCAGATTCATGGTATTTAAATCAAAGGAGAAAACCTAAAGTATTCAAGATATTTAATTATGCCTGCTCTGGAACAAAGAGAGAGATGTATTAATACTATTAACAATAGGGGTCGCAGGGTCGCGGTGGCCAAGTGGTTAGGGCGTCTGACATTCTGATACCACTATCCCTCCACAACTAGGTTGTGGGGTCGCGGTGGACAAGTGGTTAGGGCGTCTGGCATTCTGATACCACTACCCCTCCACCACTAGGCTGTGGGGTTGCGGTGGCCAAGTGGTTAGGGCGTCTGACATTGTGATACCACTAACCCTCAAACACTAGGTTGTGGGGGTGCGGTGGCCAAGTGGCCCGGGCGTCTGACATTCTGCTACCACCAGCCCTCCAACACTGGGTCGTGGGTTATAGACCTACATGGGGCAGTTGCCAGGTACTGGCCGTAGGTCGGTGGTTTTTCTCAGGAAACTAAGGCTTTCCTCCCCCACCAAAACCTGGCATGTCCTTAAATGAGCATAGCTGTTAATACGATGTAAAACACTAACAAACCAAACCAAAAGTATTAATACTGGTTCTTCTGCTAGAAACTTTTCCTGGCCGAAGCATGAAGTATACCTGTATCATCCACATAGGGTATGCAGTGCACTGGGGTAATGCCATTAAGGTCAAAGTTCAACTAGATATATACATGTATGGAGAATACAAGTTAGAAAATGTGACAACTGGATAAGAGATACTCAGTGTTTACAAGTCACGACCACATTGTTTCCTGTCACAGGTACTCACACACCCCTCAGCTCTGCAGAAGACCTTGTATGACATTCTGGACAAGCAATGTTCCAAATCCAAACGTGGGTATAACACATCACTCTCAAGGAAATACAATGTTCCTTTAAGCCATATGCCTGATAAAAAAAAATCTTAAAACAATTTGTTTAATAACTTTGAATAATTTCATATCAAATGATTGGTATTTTTTTATTTTTTTTTTATTTTTCTACTTGTCAAATACTTAATGTTAAAATGACCTACCGTATACATACACCAATTGATGAAAAACTGTTAGTTTCTCTACTGTAAGTGTTAAATTTAACGCAATTAAAAGGACAGTGTTTGAAGCTTCTCTGACCCGTGTTTATTACAACAAGGAAGAATATAAGTTTCTAAATTACATATGCTGGTACTCTACTCCAAAAAGTGAAATTTATTTTAATGAAAAAGTCGAAAAACCGTGGTGTCTGTTTATGTGACAATGTCTATCATAGAGGTCATGGTTTAATAATGGTTCCAAATTTTATCAAATCAATAATTTGTTTGCTTGTGTAGGTATATGGTCCATATACATGTACTGATATTTAAATTTTAGAAAAAAATTATTACTTAATGAAGGTGTTTTTTAAATAAAGGTGTTTTTGAAAGTCATATTTCAAAATGCAATTCTAAACAAAATAAATTAATATAAAAAGTTATGCGAAATTATTGTGTGGTTTGTTGTAGATGCTGACGTGGGTTGTCATTTTCTCCACCTACACCAGGAAGTTTGTCGGACATTCCAGTATGCCAAGGTCAAGATTAATGCTGTTCGCACATGTCTCACCCGACTGGAAGAGCACAGTGATGTCATCAGGACCACTGTAGATAGATATAGAACCGTGCCTAGTTAGGTCATCACGTCACCTTCCTGTTCAACTGTAGATAGATATAGAACCGTGTCTAGTTAGGTCATCATGTCACCTTCCTGGTCAACTGTAGATAGATATAGAACCGTGCCTAGTTAGGTCATCACGTCACCTTCCTGGTCAACTGTAGATAGATATAGAACCGTGTCTAGTTAGGTCATCACGTCACCTTCCTGGTCAACTGTAGATAGATATAGAACCGTGTCTAGTTAGGTCATCACGTCACCTTCCTGGTCAACTGTAGATAGATAAAGAACCGTGCCTAGTTAGGTCATCACGTCACCTTCCTGGTCAACTGTAGAAAGATATAGAACCGTGGCAAGTTAGTTCATCACGTCACCGTTGTGGTTATTCTGTGAACTACAAGGCCATCATGTCGCCTTCCTGGTTGTCCAAATGAGACCTTAAGTGTATTTTGATGGCATAGGACTTCATCCTGCCATTCTAAACGTCATCCACTGAAGGCATTAACTCCCTAGAGTTTTCAGGTTATCTAGAAACTGGCAAGGAAATTTACTGATGTTGAAGTTCATTTGTACCCTGTAAAGTCAAACTGTTTGACTCTCTCAGTCCTTGTCATGTTTTGTGGATCTGTGACCTTATGATTTTATATGACCTCTGACCTGCAGATATAAATAGAGATTTTATGATTGACACGACCACTGACATGCAAATCAAAATCATTAGATCATTTTGTTAATTTTGTGCCATACTAACTAAGTTTTTGTTAATTATTTATTTGGTGTTGTTTGTTTTAAATAAAAAAGAGTATTTTCTGGTTTGTTCTGTCATTGCTTAAATTACATTCATAATCTTCAACACCCTTTCAGCTTCAGGTGGTAAACCTCATATTAACTGAGTAGATTTGGTGCTACAGATTATATTTCCTGTCTAACTTTAGGTGCTACAGATTATATTTCCTGTCTAACTTTAGGTGCTACAGATCATATTTCCTGTCTAACTTTAGGTGCTACAGATCATATTTACTGTCTATCTTTAGGTGCTACAGATCATACATGTATTTACTGTCTAACTTTAGGAGCTACAGATCATATTTCCTGTCTAACTTTAGGTGCTACAGATCATATTTACTGTCTAACTTTAGGTGCTACAGATCATATTGACTGTCTAACTTTAGGTGCTACAGTTCTTATTTACTGTCCAATATTAGGTGGTACAGATCATATTTACTGTCTAGGTGGTACAGATCATATTCACTGTCTAGGTGGTAAATTATAAAGTTCATATTTACTGTCTAACTTTAGGTGGTAACATTATATTTACCGTCTAACTTTGGGTGGTACAGATTATATTTACTGTCTAGGTGGTACAGATCGTATTTACTGACTAATTGTAGGTGGTAACATTATATTTACCGTCTAACTTTGGGTGGTACAGATCATATTTACTGTCTAACTTTAGGTGCTACAGATCATATTTACTGTCTCACTTTAGGTGGTATAGTTCATATTTACTGTCCAATATTAGGTGGTACAGATCATATTTACTGTCTAGGTGGCACAGATCATATTTACTGTCTAGGTGGAAAAGTTCATATTTACTGCCTAACTTTAGGTGGTACAGTTCATATTTACTGTCTGACTTTGTTTGACAAAGAGTATTATAAATGATCAGGTATTTCATTTTTCATCCTTTTTTCCTCTCTGTGCTTTTTTGTTCAATTCAAAATAAATACGCATTTTTTTTAAACGATGGCAATATTGTTGGAGTTGCCTGTCTTTGTTTTCACTAATTTCTCCGATTCATAAATAGTGCAACATCCCGTAGTTCACATACATTTTCCAAAACTGATGAACTAAAAGATTCACATATTACATTCAATGGTGAAGATCTTTTTGATATGTGTTTCGTTTTTCGAATAAGAAAAACACTTATCCTTTTCATAACCTGACTACAAATTTCTACATCCTGAGTTCCCCAATTGCATTTCAATTTAAGTTTTCGTAGAAATGTTTCGAATTTCAGTAAACTGAATGAAATATTCTCATCATACTCCAATTCAAGACGTTTGTCAATATTGTTTGCATTTAAAATGACAGGAACGTCACTTTCCTTTTTCCTTTTTTTGTGGATCACAAGAAACCAACCAACTTTTAGCCTACTTATTTAAAGATGAGAGGTTCTTGTTGAGAACTATTTGTATATCGTGACAACTAGGGATTGAACAGCGTTTGTTAAGGG